AATAAAATTAGATTTTTTTTAACAATTATGATAGTAGAAGGCGAAAAATGTATAAATTCATAACCAGCCATCACCTTTATTCTTATGACTTTGCTATCAGAAAATAAGCAGCACATAACTGCTATAAAAAGGACCAGCTGAACCTTTACTTTGGCAAAGGTTGTAAGCAATAAAATAGTAAAGTTTAAAAAAAAAAACAATTTTACAAGAGATTAATTTAATAAATGTTATTCCGGTTCTTCTGATGAATATTTCTGACCAATAGCAGATCAATGTAATATACTGTGTGTCTTTGTAACAAATGTACCCACAGAATTAATATTTTGCATTGGTTCAATAATGTAGCGTAAAATGCCTTTAAAATTTAATAGAAGAAATTGCATCTGTACGCCTCTGGTTGTTCCACTTTACCCCGTATGTGAGGTAAAATGGGTCAGAAACTAAAGGTTTAAAAAATAGTAAAAAATATAATATTTATATAATTAGTTTTTCTGAACATGTAAGTTTTTCTAACATAGTTCGATAGATGCTTCTTTGATGTACTATGTTATGTGTTGTTCATTGGGTTTAGACAGTATAATTACCGTAAGCCAAATTGGACCGTTGTGCCCCGCCCTACCCTATGTCAATTTTATTTTATATTAAATTTTAATGTGCCATTTTTATTTTTAATTAAAACGCTTGTATAGGCTTTTCTTTTAAATTACTGAAAAATGTAACATATTTGCATATTAAAAGTTTTTCTTCAGTACGCTTTTAATGACGACCGGTTAGTATGACGAGATTTCGGCGTCCCTTCGATGTCATACTAAGCGGATTCTACTGTATATTCATTTCTATAATCTGCAAGCAAACTATGCATTCTGATGAAATATCACAGGTATTCACCGAAACACCACTACATGTAGCGGCGGCCCTGGGTTCAGAAGACTGCATCCGGTTATTACTGAACATGGCGCAGATTTTCGATCCCATTGGGGTCCCCGAAAAATGACTGCATTACATTTAGCATCGGAAGATGGAAATGCAATTTGTGCGCGACTTCTCACACAAGCTGGCGCTTCTGTCGATGCCAGGAATCATAGAAAACAACTTCTTTACATTTAGGTAATGCAACATTTTAATTCATATTAACTTCCCGAAGGAGAAGTTTATGTTTTCATCAAACAATCCGATTCGCTAATTTTATGTTTTCTCGACGTTTCAAGCCATTCTGAATCGAATGAGATCAAATTTGGAAAAGTATGTGTGTGTGTGTATGTGAACAGATTTTTTGCCGTAAATCGACGTTTTCTCGAAAACTGGGGCCGATTTCAAAAATTTAAAAGCCATTCGATGTATCTCGACGATGACTATCGTGGGGACGATCGGCCGAGGAAGATATTGATTGGGAATCGTGCTGATTAGTTTTTGGTAAAGATCGGCCGGGTCGTTTTCTTGTAATAAAGTGTAAAAAAATTTTTTCGACGATTTTTATTATTATTTTTTCACGGTAGATACTATAGTCTTCTAGATCATACTAAAATATTACGGCCTTACGACAATTGGTTTAACTTTGAAAATTCGTCAAAGTTTGCAAAAATCGGTATCGTTTTTTTGGCATTTGTCAAAATTAGACCTTTCATCGACGTTTTCTCAAAAACGCCTGAACCGATTTCAGAAATTTAAAAGCCATTTGATTATTTCGATGAGGACTATCGTTTGTCAGTTTGTGCGACGATCTGCCAAGCCGTTCTTTGTAATTTGAAAAAAAAAGTTATACTTTTCGTCACATTTAAGCTCATCCCTACCGAACCGATTTTAAAAAATCAAAAACTGTTCGAAGATATTAGTTGGGAATGGTACTGATTAGTTTTAGGTGAAAATCTACCGAGCCGTTTTCTTGTAATTAACTGTTGAAAAAATAATTGAAGCCGATTTTTATGGAATTTTTAGCGATATATATTATGGTCTTATAGATATCTGTGATCTATCACGGCCTTATGACAACAAGCAATTTTAAAAATCAAAGAAAATGAGTAGTTTTTTTGACGTTAGCTAAAATTAAAATTAGACGATTTACTTGGTATAACAATATAGTACTTGGTCTTAATAAACATACTAAACCATTAAAATCCTACGGAAACTGATTCAAATATATATATTTAAAATTTTAATTTTAAAATTTTAATTTAAATATATTATAATAATTGTTGATTTTTGAAAAGTTGCTTTTTGAAAATACTCCGATTTAACGTGTTGTTCGTTTTCAATTATGTGTAATAAATCTACTCATAAATTAATTTATTTTTTATTGATTAAGTCGATTATTTACACATATCGGAAAGTTCATGTAACTTGCCTCAAATACCAATACCACACTAGTTTAACATTAAAATTAAAATACTCTACATATCGGAAACTACTTCCAAACAAGATTGAAAATCGTATTTAACGTATAATTTTTCGGCTTTAAAATAGTAAGTATTTAAAAAAGGAAAATTACATAATTTTGTATCATTTACAGCGGCGCTTGCTCAATCACCTGAAACATTGGAAGTTTTATTGGAATGTGGCGGTGATCCGAATGCGACTGACGCTGATGGTCGCACTCCACTGCATGGAGCAATAGTCAAAGAATCCAGGTACACGTTAAAATAAATGCTCAAAATTTAAATAAATAAATTACTAACTTATTCCAATAATTCATTGAAAAGTCATAATATTAGAATAGAAGTTAAATTAAACGAATTATGAAGTATATAATAAATCAAATTTCATATTCATGTCATGGTAATCTCATTTACATCATTAATCATTTCTGAAAATCTACTTTACATTAACAGATCGTGCGAATGTGCACGGTTACTTCTCGACAACGGTGCATTAGTAAACCGTGCAGACAATTTTGGTTATACGCCGTTGCACATAGCGGCTCTAAATGAATTCTCATCTTGCGTATACATGCTAATAGGTCAGTAAGTAATAATATTATGTTGTTGAAGATAATTGCATGATTTTTTTTATTACCTTATCATCACATATAATTAATTTTCAATAGCGAGATAATGAATTTATTATTATAGATGTAAGTTTTGAGAAATTTAATTCCTCATTGTTCGTATTATACGGTAAATTTTATTATTTCGCAGTTTACTAATTGCATTTTTTATGATTTAATTAAGTTTTCTATATATTGGTAATTTTCCAGTGAATATAACTTAATAGTGCTTTTAGAAGGCAAAATACTTTAAACAATTTTTGTCATTTTACTTAAGGATATGGTGCAGATGTGACAGCCAGAACAGATGGTGGTGGTGTGACTGCTTTATCGTTTATTTTGCGCCGTACGCCGGATGTAGTACGTTATTTAAGCAAATTCGATCATGCGATAAAATTGAATGACCACGAAATCGGAGACGCCGATTGCGAACTTAAGCTAGACTTCCGCATCCTTGTGCCAAGCACGGATCGAGGAGAAACAGAACTACTGAGAGCTTTCATCGAGGTTTAGTAAAAAAAACAGCTATTATCAAATTGAACTTTCATAATATTAAAGTGTACTCGTAAAAAAAAAATGGATGCCTTGACCTTTCAGACATTATTTTTATTTTCATAGGTCGGACGCAAAGATGTTCTTAAACATCCATTGTGCGAAACTTTCCTATTTCTCAAGTGGAGAAGAATTAGAAAATTTTTCTTATTGAGTTTATTATTCCACGCAGTATTCGTGATACATTTTAGTTGGTACATCATAGGTGAGTAGAACATTGAGATAATACGTAGGTTAAAATCATTTGACTGTATCAGAGTGTAGCAGCGTATCGTTATTTTGTATCATAAAACACAATTTAAAATCAGTTATTAAATGTATTATTATGGTAGGAATTACGAGAGCGTGAAAATTATGTAGACGCAATGGTAAAAGTTGATAATAATCTTGACTACGTTATTTGAAATTTGTTTGAAGTATAATAAAGATAAAAAAAAATTATTAAGCTGTTTTCCAATAAAGAAAATATCGATTATTTAAAACGCATGACTTTTATGAATATTACATAATTACTATTAAAGTGAAGTCTTATAAAATTTGTAACAAGATTGTACCACTTCCGAAATTTTCGAAACAAACGTCTAAACAATTTCATTGTTTCAATTACAATCTGTTTTAGCTGTCTTTTTGATTGATTGTACTACAAAAAGCGATGAGCAAATATGCCAAATGACTCCTCGATACGCAAAACCGCTAGGTTTTTGGGTATTGACACTTAACTGCATGCTGCTGGCCAAAGAATTATTTCAAATTTCCCAAGGGTGGATAGGATATAGCCGACAATGGGAAAATTGGTTGCAGTGGATTATTATTATCACTGTCTTTCTTTGCGTGGTAGGCATATGGATGCAAAAATATAATTTTCAAATATATAATATAATATATAGATTCTGTAATCTTTTATTCCTCGCCTTTTAGACACCACAGTACTACATTTTAGGCAAATGGACATGGCAGCATCATGTTGCGGCGTTAGCAATACTTTTCACCTGGTTAGAACTAATGATGTTAGTCGGAAGATTTCCAATATTCGGACTATATGTTCAAATGTTTACTACCGGTAAAAGACTAAAAGATAGAAAATTCAAACAAATTTTTGAAAAAATAATTTATTATAAATATTAAATATATTTTTTTTCAGTGGCAGTGAATTTTTCGAAGTTTTTGATGGCCTATTGCTTTTTGATTGTAGCTTTTGCACTGAGCTTTGGCGTGCTTTTTGCTGAAGTACCATCATTTAGCACAATTCCCTTGGCTTTACTTAAGGTAACACGATGACAAATAATTAAAAATGCTTAATAATGAGATATCATAATGCTATATGTTGCATTTTGTTTAAATAAAAAATATTTACTAATTGTTCACAAACTATAATTTTTTTTCATTTTATTATGATAGGCTGTTGTGATGATGTCCGGGGAATTAGAATTTGATGACATATTTCATGCTGAAGAATATCCTGTGAGATATCCCATAACTGCACATATCATATTTTGTGCATTTATTGTGCTAGTCACTGTTATTCTTACCAATTTACTGGTTGGTCTAGCTGTGAGTGATATTCAGGTAAGAATACCGTGAGAAATATGACTGATTTATAAAAAAATATTTTTCTGGAATATCAATATTTAATACAATTTTAATTGAAGCAAAATTTTAGCTAATATTTCCCTATTTAGGGTTTGCAGCAAAGCGCAGGGTTAGACAGATTATCGCGCCAAGCAGAATTGGTAGGACGACTTGAGAGTATACTGTTTTCAAAGTTATTGAGAAGATTGCCCACAAGAATTGTTCTCATATGCCATCGGAGTGCTATGTTACTCACATCTACTGGGCAATGGGCACTTTATATTAGACCAAATGACCCACGAGAAATGAGAGTAAGTTTACCATACTAATTTACCATATAAAAACCCAAAGTAAATGCAGTTTAAATTTAAGTTGAAACAAACTTAAACATCATTTTAAAATTTGAAAGATTATGAGAAATAATGTAAAAAAACATAACATTATAATAAAACTAGAATAATGATTAAAATATTATTTTTCATTGTTTATTCACGTTCTAGATAGAAATATTATAAAAATATAAAATAATCAAAATTGAATTTCTAATTTATTTAATTAAAGATTCCTAGAGAACTCATCACATCTATATACCAGTTAATAGTAGAACGAAAAGATCTACAACAAAATAAACGCAAGAGGGCCACCATATCTAAACCGCCTGAAAATTGTATTGGCTTCAAAAAACACAGTTATACAAATATTTCTAAGCCTGATAGCTATTCAAGTCTTGTTACTCAAACTATAAAATCAGTTCCTCAAGTTTACAATACAAATAAAGTTAGCAATCATCAGAGGGGATATAGAATGCGTACCTACTCTGAAATACCTTCCAAAGACCATAAACGGAAGAGAACTTGCCTTAATAAATGAAAATATTAGAGAAATGAAATTACATCTTACTGATTTATGCCAAAGAATTGATAACTTAAACCAAACAATAGCAGAAAATGCAAGCAATATAAGAACAGATAGGAATGGCAAAGTTTATGCAAATTAGAACAAATCAAATGTTGTACAAAATATTTGTAATACAAAATATTTGAGATAAGAAAAAAGTATGTGAAGACTGTAGAGTTAAATATTTTTATACAAGAAATGCAATAAATTTAAGCAATTAACTATAATGTATGTAATCTTATGTATAATTTATTATGTAATTTATTTATATATATATATATATATATATATATAATCCAAATTTAAGGTATATATTAAACTGACTTACCAAAAGATTACAAGTGAATTTCTCTCCAGTTTCCAATTCAACTTCATTTTTAGTATTTCTTTTGCCAATTTTAGATTTTTTACTTTTGCTTTATTTAAAATTGTTATGTTGGTTTTTGGAGTTTCTTCAAAAGAAGAGTACAAAGCATGTAATATTTCATCATTTTCAATTATGAACGCTATGTCGTTTTGCATATTATCATTGAAATTGATGGATGCATCAGAACATGCATCCCAAACCTAATAAAATTTCAAAATCTTATATAGTAAACATTAAATATAAATTATTTTTGATGCAAAATAGACCTGCATATCATTTACTGCTTTCTTTCTTCTAATTTTATCCCACACATTGATATCTTTGAACAATTGAGAAGATCCTTTGTTAATAGCCGATACTCTGTTTGAGTAGTTAGAAAGTTCCTTTTTAGCATATTTTGGACCACCTTCAAGCAGTAAAATTTGCTTATTGAAAGCCTTGCATCATTTGCTAGAAATCAAAATATTATCAATAAAATATCTAAACTAAAATCAAATACTTTGAGCCAATATCATGCATTATTTACAAGTAGTGTGAGAAAATAAAGTGAAAAAAATGCATATAAAAATATAATTCAAATTATTTATTAATCAATAAAAGATAAGTATCAAAGTATCATTATTATGAGAAAAAATATAAATGAAAAAGAAAATATATTTTATTATTTTGACACACAAAACAAATCATATTCCAATAATAAATAAAACTCATTTAATTATGTAATGACATTACGTATTCTTTGCACCAAACATTAGAGTTTATATTTCACCTAACATAATCAAAACATTATTCACATATTTAAGTTGTAATTAAATAATAAACAAGTTTTTAGTTTAACCTAAAATTACCTAATGCTAAAAGGAATGCTGTGCCAACCATTCCTCCTCCTGCTATTATTATGTCATATTGATTTTTAGTTTCGGCTGTACTGTATTTATGAAATCCATTTTTAATAAAGTATGACACAGGTTGAATAAACTTTCTATTATATTTTAAAATGGTATTATATTTTGAAATAGCACCAGCCATTTTTGCGCTATTTGACTACTAGTTTGACAGATGAATACGATGCTGACATCTTCAGCATCATTACATTTGCGTGAGGTTGACAACACTGCTACATAACACCAATCGAAAACGATTATGTTGGTTGTGTCAGAAACTTCCTCTCAACACGCAATTCTAAAAACGTTAATTAAACGAAAGTGTAATAACTAAATATTGTATAGTATTTATTAATTTAGAGAAATATAGAATCATTCGATAAATATCATTTTATATATATGAAGAAGAAGAAGTGACAGTAATATATTTATAAAAGACACAAGTGTAAAGCATATGTGTATTGCTTATTCATGGAGATATGTAAATTGAACAATATATAATGATATATATATATATATATTAATTCATACTTATTTGCTTCATATGATATCTGAAAAATAATGCTTAATATTAAAAATTATTACAAATCAAGAGCTTGTACATATGAAGAAGAAGAAGTGACAGTAATATATTTATAAAAGACACAAGTGTAAAGCATGGACGAAGGCAATATATATGTGTATTGCTTATTCATGGAGGTATGTAAATTGAACAATATATAATGATATATATATTAATTCATACTTATTTGCCTCATATGATATCTGAAAAATAATGCTTAATATTAAAAATTATTACAAATCAAGAGCTTGTACTTCAATTTCATATTTTATTATAACATTAAATTTTATATGTTTATTATTTTAAATTTTATTATTTTATAATATATAAAATCAGACTTGAGTTTTGCTGTGACGTGCATTTTAAAACCAATCAAAGAGCGGCTTGGCCCACTCATTAAGGGTCCTCAGCCAGCCTTGTGGTCTGCGTTGTCCTTGATTTCGATTCGGCGGTCCAACTGCAGTATGCACTCCCCCAACGCTATATCTATTTCCAGCATATTTGTCGTTAACTGTAATTTCTGGATAATCAACCTCACCGGTATTCTCTGTGACAGGTTTAGGGAGGAAATCCTGAAAAGTTCCAATAGCTGATTGACCTATATTTTGAAAAACATCAGCAACCGCTTGTCCAGCGCCTTGCAAACCGCCGATAGCGTTCTGACCAGCGTCTTGTAGAGCGTCGACCGCGGTTTGCGAGACGCTCTGCAAGGCGCCTACAGAAGACTGACCGACGTCTTGCAGAGCGCTGACTGCGGACTCCTGAATTGGAGCGAATACCGTTTGTGGGCCAGTGTTGAAGACGTTCATGAATAGATTTTCAAACCATCCTGGGCGGTTGGTGACCGGCTCATCGGCGTCTACAACTTCAGGTTCGAAGTTATTATAGTCATAGTCCGAGCTTCCGTGGTTGTTGTTATCTCCATTTCCGTTTCCTCCATGACTTCCTTGACCACCGCTACCATGACTTGCCCCTCCATGATGGTTTCCGCCACCGTGGTGGTTTCCTCCTCCATGTATTCCACCCCCATGATTATTACCACCATGACCGCCTCCATATTGACCTCCTCCACCGCAATTGTAAATATAGTTGTGATTGACTGTTACATCAGCAAATAGAAATTTGTGATCAAAATGTCCAAATGTTCGTCCACTGGGCGCTTCCCGCCCTCTATTCCTTGAATTTTGAAAATGGTTAGTAAGGCTTATTTCTATTCATTATTTTGGTTCTTTTGAAATTCTTATTGAATTATTATTCTATTACAAAATGTCATTATAATAAGACCATTGATCAAGTTGTTGACAATGTTATGTAAAGCATAAAAGAAGTTTGATCAATTGTGCAAATTGTTTTTTGTAATGATTTATTTTTGTGGCTTATTTGCTCAAATTATTTATTATCTCGATAGATACATTAATTTTGTAATTATTATAAATAGATTCGTATTACTAATGATAAAAACGCAATATTTTAAGTATTCTCTAACATAGAGCAATAACTTTAACCGTTGACTATAATGAAATAATTATCAAAACAATTTATTTTAATAACATTATCTCATAATTAAATCAATTACCTGCAAGGTCTCGGTCTTCTTCGGCGGTTACTATTATCCCGTTGGGCCACTGGGTTCGCTTGTAGGAAATGCACAAATACCAACAGCAGGCATATGAAAAAAATCTATAAAAAACAAACTGCCAAATTATGTTTAAATAATATTATTAACTTAATAAATATAATTCACTATTTTAAACACTTCACTTCACCAAATTAACCCTCGCGCTTACCGAAGCATGCATTTCAATTAAATTAGACCCGACTTCCTTACTTCTTCAAGATTTTTGATGTTATGAATGTCTCCAGACTATTTCACTCACCTTTAGTATTACATATCTTCAAGATGGGTGAAAAGTGAGAGTTTTGCGCAGATTTTTTACGTAACATTGCAAATCCACCTCGTCCTACGCAAAATTTGTCGAACATATCTACTTGTGTCTACTGTCCAAAAAAGGTTAGATAAAAGTAGGTAACTTTTACTGGTTTAAAAACTATTTCTTTAGCACCACTTAAGTGGAACAACAGATAATAATTAGTATTGAATAAAATGAGTTTTCCGATTATATAGCAGGTATAATCCAATATTTCTGAAATATCTCCTTTCAATATAAGTGAATTCTCATTTTACATGTTGTTTATATCTCTTAACATTAAAAAGTTAAATATATTCTTCATATCAGCGATGATTTTAAATAAGCAAATAGGATAAGTAACTATTAAAAGGCATCAAATTTCAAGGAACTTTATATACGAGTTCTTAGTTTTTTTACACTCCACATTTACTTGTAATTCTTCGTAGAATATCAATATACTGGAGTTAGATTCTAATTTCAATAGTAATTAAAAAGTAACTATTTTTTTAATAATTCATTTATTCTAAAAGTTACTTTGGGTTCAATCACCCGATAACATAATACTTTATTGCAAATTCTATATTTGACAGAATGAGTGGGATGTTGTTGCACAAGTGGGTCACAAAATACACAAATTTGGCGAATGTGCGTAATCAAAAAATATACAAGTAATATATTCTATTTTATTTATTTATTGATTTAATTAATTATCGTCAATTGGTTATTTTTTCAATTCAAAAGATTAACATTGTGAAAAATTTATTGCTATTTTGGGGTTGTTGTATTAAATATACTTTATAAAATAATATATATATATATATATATATATATATATAATATATCTATATATATATCTATATCTCTATATATATATTTCTCTCTATATCCTATATCAATCTCTATATATCTCTCTAATCTATCTCAAATTATCATATATCTATCTTAGCGATCTCTCTATATTTCTCTATCTCTACCTCTATACATATCTATATATCTCTATATATATCTATATCCATATCTAATGTTAATAAAATGCAATTTTACTTTTATATCTTTCAAAACTATATTTTGACAAAGGTTAGTACCATCCAAATAAAAATCTCCAATGCTATACTTTTCAAATAACTAATTTAACACTATAATTCTAAAGTTATGTTAGTTTTTCATTTGCTGATTGCATTTTTCCACAAGAGTAAAAGTAGCGCTGTTAGCTAAGATTGGCTATATGAACACGCTTATTGGAAATTCATTGACTAATTGTTGAAAAAATATTTGTTTGAGGTCAAAATAGATAGACAAAAATTAATAATAAAATTGAATTATTATTTGTAACAAACATTTACATTATCTTATGAGAGTCAGATTATTCGTTTAATATTATTTAATGAAATTCTATGAAAGTGAGTCATTTTGAAAGCGAATCTGTACATATATATAATGTATCTCTGCTAGCCTCGGTAATGAGACAAATATACGTTTATTTGTAATATATTATATTAAATCTAACATGTATATATATATATATATACAATAGAAAATTTATTTTATTAAACATATAATAAATGTGAACAAATGCAAATTATAACTAGTACTAACGCAAAAGAAATTCGAAAAAATTATGTTTTATAGAAGAAATATTTACAAGAAAACATTTTTACAACTATTTGCAATAGTAATTTTTTGTTGTGGTCTGGAACACCTGATATAGAAAATATTTTATTACATTATCCAACGTACTGTTATCTGAATTGGTGTAACAATACTCAGCTAACATTGGCTACGAAAATAGACATTTATCAGAAATACATTTAATCGACACTTTGATTCAATATTTATGTTTCAAGAAAGTAACTTCAACGAGTTCTAAGTAATATCTGAAACTCAGCTCTTATTGATGTAATCGTAAGTATAGCAGTATTTCAATTAAATGCAAAGTGTCGATTTTAAATAATTAAATAAAGCTTTTTATTTCAATTTTTTTTTGAATTTGATAACTTTAAAACTGACTGAAAATATTGAAATTAGTTTTCTATTTTTCATATAAAGAATGATACTGCGCTATTTTATTTTTAATCATTTGTAGAGGATTGATTTCTTATCCTCAGAAACTTTTCAAGACTTTCATCAATTTCATCCCAAAACACTATATTAACAATATTCATATAATCTGTTATAATAATATATATTTTTTTCAATTGTTAATACTATAATATAATTATTTAATTAGGTTAACATAGTCTTAGTCTCTTATTAGAGCAAAATTTTCAATGTAATAAGTCTTATACTGTTCTAATCATGTATTCATATATATAATATATATATATATATATATATATATATATATATATATATATATATATACGAGGTCTGTTCTGTTCAAAAGTACCCGGAATTTTCGTTTTTTTCAAAAAAATATTTATTTATTCGTCTACATTAATGTGGTCCCCTTCAAAGTAGTCCCCCCCAGATATAATACACTTATGCCAGCGTTTTTTCCAATTTTCGAAGCACCCTTGATATTCACTTTTTGATATGTCCTTGAGCACTCTCAGCGATTTTCTTCAATCGAGGAAAACCGCCGTCCTTTCATGGGTCTCTTCAACTTTGGGAATAGGAAAAAGTCACACGGAGCCATATCTGGTGAATTTTTGCACTTTGCAACACTTTATTCAT